GAACATTTTTATTTTATTTTAATCGCCTTCTATTATTTCCTCTAATCAAACCGCGGTGTGAGCAAAGTTTAATAGCCGTGGGAATAGTAATGGTCGTTCTCTTTCTCTGCATCGCGTTATGAACTCCGACCATTTTGCAAAATTAATCGTCTCGCAGAAATTATCCATATCAATNTCGTGTACGAACATTTTTACTTTATTTTAATCGCCTTCTATTATTTCCTCTAATCAAACCGCGGTGTGAGCAAAGTTTAATAGCCGTGGGAATAGTAATGGGTCGTTCTCTTTCTCTGCATCGCGTTATGAACTCCGACCATTTTGCAAAATTAATCGTCTCGCAGAAATTATCCATATCAATGCCTTTGGGTTAAAATGGCGAGTAATCCCCTGGTTGATGTGAATAAGCTGTAAACTCAGTGTATTTCGACGATAAAATTATTGTTTTAAACGTAATTTTGATGAAACTGTTTAATTATGATAGTTTAAGATTTTATTTTTAACTAAACGTTTTTTGTTTTAAGAAAATTGCAGTTTTGAACATAAGAGACTTGATTTTTTACGAGCAACGGTATTATTATCATGTATCCGGTTTGAAAAACAAATACTTAGATTAAATGTTTTTTTTTAATATTCTATCCGGTAAATTGGAGTATAGGTACTAATTATTTTCACTTGTGTTGCGCACGCGCTGAACCGTACTGGGTGTCATCCAATAAGAAGAGCTTGTTATGCTCAGTTGGTCCGACAACCCTATCTAAAACGGATGAACTTTTTGTTGGTGTTATTATTATTCATAAACAATAGGTTATGTAAATAAAAATAATTATAATTCTTGAATGGAACAGGTTAGGAAGAAAAAACGATATTGATAAACCAACAACCGCGGTCATTAGCGAGTTAAATAAATTAATTATTCTTATATGATTGGAAATATAGAAAACCCTTTTAATTATATGAATGACTTTGATATAGTGTAGATTTTATGTTGTTAGCAGATAGTATTGCGGAAAACGATCTATGGAAAAAAGCAATAATAAATATATATATATATCCTGTCACGTAGTTGACAATTATTCTACGTTTTTCCGTAGTCAAAAGTCTGCGTATGAAATGAATATTTCTGTCACGCGTTTCCAGTATCGGGCTCTTCACTAGTCGACATGTCAGAGAAAAACCTTCAAATCACTTATTACATCGCCATGATGTTTGACGGTCTATATAAATCCGATCACATCCTAATTCATAATCGAATTTTCTCTGCAATAATGTAATAACATTCACACATTATTATACATTGAGTACACGGCCACAGTCGTTCCAGTAACGTTGTGTTCACTTCTCGCCATCGTAGTTGGAAGTGCTTTGAACTCGGTTGTGAACAATGGCGTAGCAAATACTCTCGACGAGAAGAAGAGCAGCTACTCCCGTGACTTGGTTGCCTCTTATACGCGACCAACATAATGATAATAAAAATATCCTTGCGAACGATAGTTTTTAATTAATCAACGTAGTTGTTAGTAAAATTGGCTTCAGGCCAATTCGACCGGTGCATGGCTTTGGATCGTCTTCGGCAATAATGATTAAAAAAATATTAATCTGGGTTCAAGAAATGACCTTTCAAGTCAGCGAAATCATCTGACTCACTTTCTGAAATCACACTGGGTTGATGAAATGTTCGGTTGAAACCCATTAAAATATATAACAATGTTAATTAGTGCTGTATAACAATGGTGCGCTACTATCATTGCAAGTGTCTCATTATATTTAGTGTAATTTTTCATTTAGATGTTCGCAATACTTTTGAGTTTATGTTTCGAGTACACAAACCGACAGTTATCTTGATTTGGTATGAACAATACAGTATTTAGTTTGTTTGTAATGTACACTCCTCACCGTTTGGGATCAAGTACTTAATGCGTGTAATACCGTACTTGATTATGTGTGCATTCTGCGTTATGACTTATAGAATTAAAAATTAAGTACTGTACTAATAGTTTAATGACTATTTGCGAGCGTTCACTGTTTTGAGTTAATCACGAATTTCTCTTCCTACAACTGTGCAATCATTAAATTATCATGACCTGTTAATATTTATTAAGTAAAAGTATTTTTTGGGAATAATAATTATTGATTTGATTATATAATTAGATATTGCATTCATCAAATTATTTGATTTTATCCATTTATTAATTAAATCGATAAGTGTTATGAGAAAACAGTATTGGCGAAATCTTATTGCAACAATCAAAAGTTTCCAGTCTATAACACTAAGGTGCGCCTCGCAAACTAATATCTCAAGAAGACAGTTACAACGTACAGTAATTAAGTTTGCTCATTTGACACTCAGTTTTAATCGGCGGTCATTAAATTTGACCCGGATGTTACTTAAATGACGATTATTTTTATAATAAGAGCGACGATTGTCATTCATATTTACAAGTTAATAAAAGTATTTGAAATGTAATGAAGCCAAATCGACCGTGACGTCTGAACTTATCATGCGATTAAAATTATTTTCTCTTTTACTCGAGGAAGTCTACGGGGACCATTAAGTTATGTGTTATTATTTAATTCAGATAGATATTATTTAACCTCGGAATCCTTTTGTCTCCTGAAACCGCTTAGGTATAAGTGCTTGTAGATTGCTCAAGGAAAAATCCAAATGTCTATTGTGGTTTTTCACATGGACAGAACCTATTGTTTATACATTTCGTTTGCTTTTCTTCTGACTGATGTGCCCTTCTTTTGTTTCGAGTTTTCATGGTGAACGACACAACCCTAAGTTGAGATGACAAATTTTGACTGCTCGTTGTCGTCCTTGTAACGTTGCAAATTAGGTATGCTGAAATGAAAATAATTCACTATAAATAAAATGTAACAAATTACGCACAATTATTAGACAACAACTTGTGTGGGTAAAATTCGTATCTTGCTAAATTATTTATACGAAAATGACTTAAATGAGCCTCATAATAACTCATAAAATGAATTACAACATGTGTTATTGTATTATTGTTTCTCTCGTACCCAGTGGGCGATTACACGATATTATGATTTTATTTAAATAAATAGAGCTAAGAGTGTATTATTAAGCTACCATAAATTTCAAGCAACTATAAAGTGCTGTTTGATTTTGATAGAGCTGTACAAACGATATTTTGGCGTCGACTTCATTTATCATTTTTCATTATAATTTTTATTTCACTTCTAAATCCATGAATCGGGGTAGGTGTAAATAGTAAATGTAGGTGCATCCGTACTGAAAGATCCTTTTTACCTGAGATGCATTATACACTGTAAACAGATAGTTTCTCTTTTCGTAAAATGCGTTTTTAAACCTGTTGATATTATTTAAAATAGAAAAATAACAGTTTATTTTTATAGACGTTTCACAGAATTCGTTTTTGGGTAACTGTTTATACAGACCATTATGTTCAATAAGTTGCTAACCTATGTGTGTAAAATATTAAAAATATATACGAAGCAATATTTTATGCCTTATAATCCTAGAAAACTCATAATAAAATAAATTAAGTAATTTATTTTTTATCTATATACATTAACGGTTTATCAAGGACAGCCCTAATTGATTAGGTAAACTCAAAATATTCAAATTTTCTGTTGACACTTGTTATGAACATTGTCACTGTACAGCTGTTTATAGTACGTTAAAATTAGCATCTTGATTTACGATTAAGAAGTTTTAATACGATTGAAATATTTATTTGTGATTATTATCTAACCAACATATGTTAAGGTATCATCTTCGTAGCTTAGGGTATTAAATTAGAAGCAATAGAATAAAAGCGAAATTTGTGTGGCTTGTCTTACTGATTTTTGTTGTCTATCTTTATTGAAATATAATAAGATGTGTGAACAATTTGGTAGTGTGGATCGGTCAGCAGCATATGAGTGACTTTTAAATCAATTCAACACGGTCAAATCTCTCACGATTGTATCATCTATGTGTACTACACGTGTTATATCCGGTAATGTTCTCGTGTATGAGCCTCTAATATAATTTATTATGCGTACACTGAAACCAACAGAGATGGTATGCCGAGGAAGCATCGTGAGAAGACTACAATTTTAGTCGTAAAATGAAAAAAATATATTCTATTAAGCCATAATTTAAGTCTTTCCTTTTGGGTTATTTTTTATTTTCGTTAAAAAAAACGTATCAGTTTGTTTTTTTCTCTTAGCTGGTGCTGGGAACGATGTGAATGAAATGTTAAAAGAAAAAAAACAACCACACTTTCCGAAAAATAGCTCATAGTTACCTTTAATGGAACATCTTTGTTGTAGGTCGACTAGAAAGAAAACATACTTTTTACAGAACAAATTTTTGTATACTCCATCAAACATTGTACAACTATATAACCTTTTTTTTTTATATTTATTACAAACAAAGAAAACTTAATGTTTTTTAACATAATTTTTCACTGTTGCGAAAGAAATATATTTAAAGTATATAAAAGTTCATCATAAAAATTTAATAAAAAATTATGATTTTTAAGATTATAGTTAATGACTAATAAATATACTTAAATTTTAGTAACTATAATTAACCGACTAAAACTTACTAATATACTTTTTCGTTAAGTGTTTATGTATTTTTTAATGGATGTTCTCACTGCATTATTAACGTATTATATGAAAAATTTTTATGAAAATAAACTGATTACTACTCTACAATATAGATATTATTGCTAAAATGTTTAGAATTTTAAAATCTCATATGGATCAAAATGTGGGATGCAATTAAGAATAATGGATTCTTACTGCGGTCGTATTTACAAGACAAACGGTTTTGAAAATTAGTAGTTTTAATAGAGAACTGTTTTTCTACCCACAAAATTACCTTAAATGGGATTTACTATTAAATAAAATAACATTAAGCAAAACACGATTCTTCATGGGGAACATGAGTTATCAAATATCTACCCAAGTTATATGTATTTATATTTATTAAGTACTATATTAACTTTTTTTTGTTACAGGAGGCAGCAGTCTGATGGGCAGCTTTATTGTCAGCATGTCAGAACGTGTGCCACCACTGGACATCACAAAACAAAAGTAAGTATTTTTTTCAGTCAAATTTTTTATATATAAATGTTTTATATTTCTCACTTTATTCGATAAAAAGGTTAATTTATAGTATTAAAATAATAAATCAGCGTTCAAATTTAATGTGGCCTATATTAAAAAAAAATTTGCTATAATTTTGAAATAAATCTCCATTAAAAAAACTGGCACATTGTTGTATTAAAAGCGTAGCTATGCTGATTTATTACCATACATTATAAATTCCAATATTATTTTTCATTTAAAATAGACTGACATTAATTTTGATTAATGAAAATAATTTTGATACTCGTTACACTATTCGAATAGAATTACAAGAGGTCATATTATAATTAGTAATACACATAAAAGTGTTACAAATATAATGCAGTGATCATTAAAAAAAACATTAAACTTTTATAATCTGTATTTATCATTGAATAACTTCTTTTAACGACATCTTACAATTTTCTTATTGTTAACACATTTATGGAATCTTAAATCTCAAAGTTCTAATTAAACATAATATTTTTTCATTCCTTCTAAAGCATTTGCTCGTTATTTGAAGATTTCAAGCTCTTAAGGAGGAAACGTACATGAGATCTACAAGTTTCAGGTTCCTTGAAGATGGGAAAACTACAAGTGACTGTTTTATTTAACCATCATTTGTAAACGATTTCACGTCAAAGGATGTTTAAGATATTCCTACCAGTATCAGTGTTCTGTAAAGTTTAACCTCGATGGCTAAGTGAATCTGCGATAACGTTTGTTTTCTTCGTGTGGCAAACATACACGTACGGTATCAATAATTGTGGCTGAGTACTCGTGAAAGTGGTCGTTTTGGGATGATCCTAGTCGTCAAATGGATATCTATTAACCGAGTGGTGCACGAGCGATAGTAAATTGTAATAACAACACGAAGACAGGTACTGAAGTAGTCACGGCCAAACGTGTTTGATTATCTAGACTTGGTTGTGCCGTATAAATAATTATGCGTGTTAGGACGACTCTGCTTATGCGTAAAGTACGGTTCTTCATGTGGACTTGTACGTGCGCGACACTCAATGGTTGTGGTCATGGATTTATGCGGTTAGATAAGTATCGCAATCAAACTGAACAGACCCTACTTGGAGGAGACGATATGGGATGCATAATAAACAAAATTGAAGAAGAATATACACGTTTTCACTATGTTGTTGCACTTACCAGCAAAAATCCAAAGAATTATAGAGCCAAGGGTAGAGAAGATAAACAAACAAATACTGATGCCAAGAAATTCAACACTCGACAATTGGCTCTAAATTATTTACAAATTAACTGATTTTAGTGGTATGACAGATTATATAAATTGATTATAATTACATTAACATTTAACACAAGAAAATAAACTATACTAGTAAAAGTCATTTAGTAGAAAGTAAAAAATTAATTAAGAATTCATTTCACTAGTAATGTTGTCAAGTCGAGTGATGTGAACACTTTCTCAATCGAATTATATTCAACTCCAAATTCTTGAAAATTGACTTTTTACATTTTACTAATTTTACAATACTTGCACTTTTGTTTACGAGTTGAACAATTTCACTTAACGGGTACAACATGTTTTTTTTTTTGAGAAATTTTATTTTAAATTATTTCAAACGTTTTTTGCTAAATATTCAAATTATATCGTATTAATATTTAACTTATTACGTAATATGTTAATAGTATGAAATTTGACGTGGATATATAAAATAATTACAAATAATTTTCAAAATCAATAATTGAAACATCTATGCTATCTTATTTAAATGTTTAGTATGAATTAATTTTAAAGTATATATATGCATTTTTAATTAAATTGTTTAAAATTAAATAATTTATTTTTTAATCTTATAAAAAATAAACGTCAACTGTGTAAAATATTTGTAGTAACGCACATTAAAATAATTAGGTAACATTTTTTTATGAGCTTCTGTATTTATTTTCAATTTATTATCTATATATAACAAAAAAATAATATATTTGCTTTTCAATATTTTTATAATTTTTACGTTATCGATGAAACAAAAATTAAGCAAGGTTGTTCTTGTTGGGAGTGTTCTATGTTATTTATTAATTTTTATACTTGTCCGAGACTACTTTTTGTTCTGTATTCGATGAATACATAAATTAGCGACACACGCACAAACGTAGAAAATGCATACAGTGCCGGTATAGGTTGTTTGTTATATTTTTTATTGCTTGTATTCGGCCAAAACAAAGTGGAGATTTCGATTACAACCTCACATCCGGTCGACCCCCGGGCACGATTTAAGAGACTATTCATTCTTTAACTATGATGCATTTTATTTTTGTATTTTGTTAAATGACCGATATACCTACACTCTAATTTATTATACATCGTGGGGCAATAAAACAGTTGACTGTAGTTGTATTATAATTTTCAATGAATAATTAGCTACTGACAAAATGGATGTTAGGTTTAAGATAAAATTACAGTTAAAGAACCGAATATTAAGCAAATTAATTCATTGGTATTGTAATTTAGATAATAATAAATCTATGATTGTTTTAATCTTATCAGCATAATTTCATTATAAATTTATGCAAAGTAATATAAAATATTATTTGTCTCAATAAAATATGAGATTTTTTTGTATTTCATAAGTCTGCGTTATTAATTAAAAGTTCAATTTTCTTCAAGTGCAGGTATAAATTTTTATACCTTTAGTTTTTTTAAATCTTTGGAGTGTTTCTTATAGTTATTTTTTACCAACCGTGTCTTAGTATATAGAGGTAATAATAATTGATTTTATTACCCAACGATTTAGAATTGAATAACAATGTTATTCAATTCTAACACAATTTTTATTTAATCAAATAACTTATAATAATAAGAATAGCAAGTCTTGAGAGTCTTTTGAATTTGAAATTTATCATTATCGACAGAAACGAGTGTTGTTTATATTGTCTTTGCAAGTAAACAATATAGTCAGTTATTTATGTTATCACAAATGGATTCACGTAGCTCTTAATAGTTACTACTATCTTTACTGTGAGTTTTTATGACCAGGTCGTTGTCCTGTTACACAAGTAATTTCTATAGAATAATTATTTGTCTAGACGGAACTTCGACACGGGCCAAGTTCTGGTCCGATACAAACGATTTCCCCTTCGAATAAAGTGCACTGTAAATTATTTTTGATTACACTTTGTTAATAAATTTTGTTTGGTACTGTTTCAGTGTGAGACACAGGATTTGTTCGAACTACTTGAACGGGTCCAAAGCAATCGATTGGACGATCAAAGATGCGTTCTACCACCTTACTTCGCCCAGGTCAGTATCATTATGTGTTTTATTTTTATCTTGTACCGTCGTTAATTATCACCAAAATATAAGAGTTAATAAATAGTAACACGACAAGTGTACGTCAACTGATATGGTTTGCATTTTTCTCGTATAAGTTTCATTATGGCAATACATTACTTTACTTTCAAAACAGTTGACGCCCATGTTCTTGAGTTTGTACTTGATCTCAATCGAACATGTCGGATTTGTTCACTTCCATAAGTTATAAAGCTCCAAGTTGAAATAAAAAACTGAACTACCTAACATCTTTGTAGTGGGTGTAACCGGTTCGAAGAATTATTGCCACTTATATGGTATGTGTATTTGACGTGCTTTATGTGTTGTTCTGTACAGAGTAATACAATAATATAACAGCAATAACTATCGGTGCAGTTAGATATAGCTCAACAACGATATTGGCACTATGGATGTATTTTTTTTGTGCTGCTCTTTGCCTCTTAGCAAAAACTTGTTGTTAGTAGGTGGGATTGCATTTTGTAGTGATTGACGATTGCAACAGAGCTCTTTTAAGTGAGCTGACATTTGAAATCTTATTTTAACATCATATTGGTATTCTGTCAAGGGTACGGGATGGTAAAAAACCAATTTACTTTATGATTTATTAGAAAAATAAAATTCAGATGTGAAGTAACGATTTTGTAATAATTTTTATGTAAAATATTCACAATTTAAATTATGTGTGAAGAAATAACGGAAAAACATCAAACAACAATTATGTTATTATAAACAATTTAGTTTGTTAAGTATTTCTTTTGCATATGTTCGATAAAAGTAAACAGTATCCAAAACGTTATTTTTTATTATTTAAACTTTGAAATTCTTTGCACGTTTTCTTTTTGTATCTTTAAATTGCGTATTTTCAACATATAGATCAACAAGTGAAAGATTTTTTTTCAATTTCTTTATTAAATTGACATGCATTTCAGTGGTAAAGACATTTAAGGACGTGTTGTTTTCAATTAAATTAAAATCTCTTTGGATTTATCTTTCTTCAATGGCGCAGCTAACTTTTTTCTTTTAGTAGTTTCCGGATGAAACAATAAAATGCCTGTTAAACTTATGTTTGCAAATTTTCTCACTTCAACCTATTGGAAACTTTAGTGTTTAAATGTGTAAATTTATCACCTGAAATATCGCCCACCCTTTTTATTTAATTTAAAAAGTAATACGTTGTTAAATACTTATGTTTTTCATCACAAAATAAGATATCTAAATAAATATTCATACAGCTATAAATTTATGGCCGTTTTATTTTACTGTCTTATCAGATCTAGATTACTTCCTTTTTGAACCCCTTTTTACTTATTAGTATATGTGTCGATTTGCATTAAGTATATTCAACAGTGAGGGCATTAAACGTGAGAATTAAACGACAATGAATAATTTAAATATTTTCATATGCATATCCATATTTTATTTTAAGTTATTTTAGGCACTGAGGTAGGCAATACACTGTGCACACTAGTAGTATATAGTAATTATCATATATTTGCCTTATGTTATTTTTTTTATTTCAATTTTGAATTTATTATTTAAGTGTTAAAAATTGTAATAGTATATATATCGTATCTTAGCTGGTAACTAGTATAATTCAAAGATCACTTGAAACTTAAATTAGAATTTCATATTGTATTTTTAAGAATATTTTAATATGTTTTAATTTTATATCACATATAATTACTTATTTTAATATATTTAACTCAAATAAAATTAAACTGTAATTTAAAATAATTAAATTAAAATTTTTTTTTGTAGAAAGATATAGATATAATATTTAAATTTTAATAACACCTAATACAATAATATTAATTGCTTATTTGGAGTTATTATAAAATTTAATTTAATCGATGAAAAATAATCATCACCTTTTGATAATCGAAAGAATGACAAAATAAAAGTCCCTTGAAAAGATATTTTAAAACATTAACATATTCATATTGGCTTATAAAATTAACCATCCATTATAGAAAATTTTCTATAAACCTTATAGTATTATATTAAATGATCATTTTATTGTTTTAAAATTTAACTAATGGTTATTTACTAGAAATATTTATCATAAATTTTAGAAAATAACCATTGTTTTCAAAATTATGTCATAGATTCAATTAAGGCTAAATAAAATGAATAGGGTAATTGTAGATTCATTTTTATTCTAAGAATATTTAGCAGATTTTATTGCAAATAAGACAATTATAAGCCTTAAATATATAATTATCTTTATAAGTATAAATGAAAAATAAACATGTATCCATAATCATTTAAAAATGTAATTATAATTACCACATTTGTTTATATTTACCTTATTGACCTATACAATTTTTATTTATGAAATTCATAAAATAAATAATGAGTATCATAATTAATCTAGTTTAAAGTTTATTTTGTTTTAAATTTTAAACCAATTTTGATTAATTATTATAAATTTTGTTAACATTATCTTAATCCAAAGCTACATGACATTTATTATTGAATATATTTCAACACGATTTAATATGTATGGTTTAATTATACAAATTATTTAATGTATAAGTAGAGCAATATTTTTGTAAAAAAAAATAAGATTTTTTTGGATAGGTAGATAAAGTTGATAGAAATTTTTTTTTTATGTGCTACACACATTTTAATGTCATGTTTGTATTTTGATGTTTTCTTTTAGTATACAAACCTAGGGGTAAATTTTGAACTAGATGGCAAGAATTTAGACTTGATGGAATTTGCAATATTATAGCATTAAATTACTTTGATCCAGTAGGAACTAACATTTCTTGCGCATAAAATAAAAACAGCATTGTAAATACCATCATCTTAGTCAACTCACCAAAGCCAAAAAAATATGATTTTGTAATAAATATTATTTGTAGTTGTTTTTTTAAACAGCTTACGTTATAAATATTGTAAATAGTGTGTTACACAAATAAAATATTAAAGGATCATAATAGTCATAAAACTTTTTCATAAGTTTAGAATCATTTCCATCATAAATACTTAAAATTACTACTGCATAAAGAGTTTTAAGATAATATAGGCTTTTTTGAAACTGAAATGATTAAATCTAGTAAGAGTAGTTTATCACTGACTCAAAAATTATGTTGAATTTTTTAGTGATATTATTACAAGACAAAGTTCAATGTATTTTTTAGTAATTTTCTATTATTTTTTTTTTATTTTGGGTCGCCTACCATTATTTTTTATTTTTTTTACGTGTATTGAAAACTTATTTTTTATTTAAAATCAATTTTAATTTTATTGAATAAGTCATTTTAAAAGTGCATAATATTATTATACAAGTTAAGTACACGAACATAATAATTCTAACGCCATCTACCGGTAGTCATATATAGCTACTATAAATAAGTGACATCTATGTTTTTTTTTTAATACTAATAGTGCATGTTTGTGTTGATAGAGTGCGGTTAATGTCTAATAGCTTGGCCAAAATATGTTAAATTTTAGTTTTTAATTTGTTAAAATATTACAGTTTCTAATGATTTAAAGAACACAAAAATAAAAGTGCGCTATCATTACGATATTATTATATTAAAATATCAACTATTATTTAACGCATAAGTTAAAACACAGGTTTGGCCCTTATAATTAGTTTAGTATAATTATTAATTAATAAACATAAAAATTAAGTCTGAAAACTAAATTTGTTAAAAATTTTAAAACTAAAAGAGATATTTACTTATTAATCCTCGGATACTTCAAAAATGATCATTTATTCATATAGCATTATGAAAGTACAGTGAAAATTTCAAACGTGACAACATAAATTATGTAGTTAAAATATCTGGTATAGTATTTGTTATTATTTACATAGTCCATTTGACATAATTTTCATCGGTTTCATCTGTTTCAACTATAATTAATTAGTAGCTTAAACATTCCAAAATTTACTGATTTTTATTGTACATGACAGTTGCCGCGTTATATTGAAAACAGTAAATTGGTCCTTCGATGATACACAGACGTGTGTGTATAATCACAAAATTGTCAGATCGTTGTGTTAACTTTTTTATGCGCATACATAAAGTTCTTAAATTTTTCTTTTAAAAGAAGTTTGATTCAAATCGTTAGTGTCATTATTGTTCTAATATTAAACTAAATGTAATATTTCTGTGATATGCTCTACATTTTTGTTCATAATTTACCATTTAAAATAAAGAAAACTTTATAAAAACCAGAAATCCGTCATCAGATTAAAAGCAAGTAGAACATCAAAATTTTTAAAGTAATTCTGATAATCAATTTCAATCATGGGGAATCGCTTACTACTTCCAATGTTAACATCGAGTGTATGTATCAACTATGAGTGTTAGGATATCATGATGTATTTTTAATTTTTAATAAGGTCAAAGTTATATATATATAAATATATGTATAATGAGTATATTTGATTCGAAAAATAGCTAATGTAATAATGAACAAATGCCTAGGTAACTTTGCAAAATTCAAGCGTTCTTGTTTGATTTAATGTATTTATTCAGTTGTTAAATGATAGCATAATAAAAATAATAAAAATACTGAAATTATTTTTTAATTTACTATAGGTGGATACTAACTAATATATAATATATATAAACAGTTTACTGACATATTTTTTTAAATATGATCGATCATAGAGAGTGGGATGCTTAAAATAATATGTATTAAATATTCACAACATCAACCTTTTAATCACGTGTATTTACACTTGCTTTAAAATTATTAAATTGCTAAGCATTAATGTTTATAATTCACAAAAGCCATTTAAATCCAACTCATCTTGTTTTAACACGTGGAGCATCATAGTTTTAATTAAATAAATTAAAATAAATTAAATTTTTTGGCGTACAACAATGTATAAGATTTAAGGTAAAACTTACTTATTTCCATTCTGTTGTAAGAACTTGGTGACCCATTATTTGAAATAATTTTTCTTGATAGATATATTTAATACTATGCTAATAAAATTTAGTTTAAAG